GCAGAACTATGATGACGTCATTAGTAAACATGAAGCATAAAGTGTGTTTCATACTTTAACTCCTATAAGGCTATTACCTGTGTGTGATTGTTGACTTAAGCCACTCTCAAGGTGGCATAAGGGTAACATTGCTGTGGCACAGGGCTTATTTTAAATGTTATGCAACACTCTTTGGGTACATCGCTCTATGTTTCGACTAATACCTGAAGCCAGCACTTCCTCATTACCACAAATCACCTCCCAAATCTGGAATATGGATTATAGTGCTTGCATAACGTAATATAATTCTTAGTAACATTTTAATGAATAAGACGAAACTGCCTGCACTCCTTGGATAGAATACGTTTAGGCCTAGATATAAAAGTTTGTTCCACCTTTAACATAATCAGGATTCTGTTAAATTATGAGCACACATCCTCCTTTAAACTGATGTCAGAAGCAGGAAAAGGATGATAAGTGTGATGGTGTTCATAAATGCAGTTGATGTAAGCTGTCTTAACCTCCACAGAGAAAGGCCTCTCCTTCAGTGCCTGCAAAATCAGGTCACCTCACTGTGGAGCACCAAAGCAAGGACAGGACTCACAGTGCTGGTGAAACCTCAAAGGTGTCCATTAGTTTTCAGACACAAAAGCATATTTCACATAATTGTCCCCTCTGTTTGGTCTTTTCATGATTGAATCAGTTTCATACCCTGTTGAAAAATGTGCGTTTATAAACCTTTATTCTAGGTTTATGCAGGTTAGTGCCAGTTGCTGGTCCAGTCTGCTTTATGCTGGTTAGTGCTGGTCCAGGCTGGTTCCTGCTAGTATAGTGCTGGTCCAGGCTTGTTTAAGCTGGTATAGTGCTGGTCCAGTCTGCTTTATGCTGGTATAGTGCTGGTCCAGTCTGCTTTATGCTGGTCAGTGCTGGTCCAGGCTAGTTAATGCTGGTATGGTGCTGGTCCAGGCTAGTTAATGCTGGTTAGTGCTAATATAGTGCTGGTCCAGGCTGGTTAATGCTGGTTAGTGCTGGTATAGTGCTGGTCCAGTCTGCTTTATGCTGGTATAGTGCTGGTCCAGGCTGGTTTAAGCTGGTATAGTGCTGGTCCAGTCTGCTTTATGCTGGTATAGTGCTGGTCCAGGCTGGTTTAAGCTGGTATAGTGCTGGTCCAGGCTGGTTTCAGCTGGTATAGTGCTGGTCCAGGCTGGTTTCAGCTGGTATAGTGCTGGTCCAGGCAAGTTAATGCTGGTTAGCTGGTCCAGGCTGGTATAGTGCTGGTCCAGTCTGCTTTATGCTGGTATAGTGCTGGTCCAGGCTGGTTTCAGCTGGTATAGTGCTGGTCCAGGCTGGTTTCAGCTGGTATAGTGCTGGTCCAGGCAAGTTAATGCTGGTTAGCTGGTCCAGGCTGGTATAGTGCTGGTCCAGTCTGCTTTATGCTGGTATAGTGCTGGTCCAGGCTGGTTTCAGCTGGTATAGTGCTGGTCCAGGCTGGTTTCAGCTGGTATAGTGCTGGTCCAGGCAAGTTAATGCTGGTTAGCTGGTCCAGGCTGGTTAGTGCTGGTCCAGGCTGGTTTAAGCTGGTATAGTGCTGGTCCAGTCTGCTTTATGCTGGTTAGTGCTGGTCCAGGCTGGTTATGCTGGTTAGTGCTGGTCCAGGCTGGTTTAAGCTGGTATAGTGCTGGTCCAGTCTGCTTTATGCTGGTTAGTGCTGGTCCAGGCTGGTTTAAGCTGGTATAGTGCTGGTCCAGTCTGCTTTATGCTGGTTAGTGCTGGTCCAGGCTGGTTACTGCTAGTATAGTGCTGGTCCAGGCTGGTTTAGCTGGTATAGTGTTGGTCCAGTCTGCTTTATGCTGGTCCAGGCTAGTTAATGCTGGTATGGTGCTGGTACAGTGCTGGTCCAGGCTGGTTAGTGCTAGTATAGTGCTGGTCCAGGCTGGTTAATGGTGGTTAGTGCTGGTATAGTGCTGGTCCAGTCTGCTTTATGCTGGTTAGTGCTAGTCCAGGCTGGTTTGGTCTTTTCATGATCGAATCCGTTTCATACCCTGCTGAAAAATACAGCTTAAACCAGCATGTCCAGGCTTTATTCTAGGTTTATGCAGGTTAGTGCCAGTTAGTGCTGGTCCAGTCTGCTTTATGCTGGTTAGTACTGGTCCAGGCTGGTTTAATCTGGTATAGTGCTGGTCCAGGCTAGTTTAAGCTAGTATAGTGCTGGTCCAGTCTACATTATGCTGGTTAGTGCTGGTCCAGGCTGGTTAATGCTAGTATAGGCTGGTTAGTGCTGGTATAGTGGTTAATGGTGGTGTAGTGCTGGTCCAGACTGGTTAATGCTGGTATAGTGCTGGTCCAGGCTGGTTAATGCTGGTTAGTACTGGTCCAGGCTGGTTTAAGCTGATATAGTGCTGGTCTGGTTTAAGCTGGTATAGTAATGGTCCAGTCTGCATTATGCTGGTTAGTGCTGGTCGAGGCTGGTTAACAAATATTTATTTTACATGTGAACAAGAAAAAAATATACCAGGAAATACACTATTTGAGCTCAAAAATCCATGTCTGAGCTAAAGGACTGAATAAATTCATCAAGTGTCAGACATTTATAATGTTACAAACTTCTATTTTATATAAATGCTTCTTTGTTTGTTTGTTTTTTCTTCTTTTTTTACATTTTCTATTCATCAAAGAATCCTGAGAACTGTCCTGATTTTCAGGAAAAAGGGCAGCACAATTTTTTTCATCATTGATAATAATAAGAAATGTTTCTTTAGCAGCAAATCATCATATTAGAATGATTTCGGAAGGATCATGTGACACTGAAGTGACACTTTGACATCACAGGAAATGTTATTTTTTCAAACACATCAAATTTTGAACGGTGTTGATATATTTACTGCATACAGTATGTAATGCCAACCAACCATGTCAACTGGCATTACAAGTAATTATATGACTCAATACATATGATCCAGTTTGGGAGAGGATGGCATTAGATAGCATTTTCCCAGGAAGAATTACATAACAGCTCAACAGAGACAAAACTACACACTCCGAATCAGGAGAGAAAGAAATAGCAATTAAAGGACAGACACAAAGAAAGGAGTCATTCTAACAGTGCCTCCAGTTGCCCTTTTCTCTTTAAACACAGGCAGAACAAATGATCTCAACACACACAATACAGGCCTGACTTCTCAACAGGCTCTTCTCAACAGATAGCATGTCCATCGCCCACAGATATGTAAGCTGTATTACATAAAGCCCTCCTGAAACCCTGGCCAGTGATGACTATACGATGATGGCAAGACACCACATATCTTACTGTGCATTTACACACACACACACACACACACACACACACACACACACACACACACACGCGTGCACACACACACGCGTGCACACACACACACACACACACACACACACACACACACACACACACACACACGCACACACACACACGCGCGCACACACACACAGTACCTAAAAGCATGCACAATCTCTAGACACTATGACCCCTGAACTATTTTTAGCTCAGCTAGTGCTGAGAACTTCACTGCTAAGAGATGCATTCAGAAAAGTATGAAAATAGTTTGTTATTTAAAGAACCCTGACAAACACTGATAGATTAAAACACCATTAGGTGATGAAAAAAGTGAAAGTCTCATGTGAAAATCAAAACAACAGATATACAAGGAGATAAAGGCTCCTCCTCAGTCCTTGGAAACATAAACAGTTTCTTGAGTTCAAATGCTGGATATGTTTTCCTGATGTAAATCTATCGATAAAGACTCAAACGGGCAAGACGAATCCTCCCACACAGACGCCAGCAGCCAATCATAAACACATTTCTGTATCTGATCTAATAAAAATAGATTTTTAGTTAACAGCTTTTGTTAAAGATCCACGAAAGGCAATGGGCAGTGAGTGTTTTAGCTGTGTTAGTTGTGGGGACACACAATGAATAGCTGTGTGTACAATCTAATAGCCTAACTAGTCGATACAACGTCAAAGTGACCTTTACTGTGACTGTGACATTGCGATAACTGATCTGTGGTATTGTATAACTATAAGAGAATTTCAAGCTGACAGATGTGGTCAGCGAGGGATTACAGAATGTCTTACACAACACTGCATTTGCTTGAGCACATTTCAGTCAAGGTGAGGAGGCTGTGTGTATTCAGGAGGCTATTCCCAGGCTCAAGAGTAAACAGAAATACTGCAGGGCAAATAATTTTTTATGTGATAAAATAATAATAATAATAATAATAATAAAGACATTGAAAATGGCAATTAAATTAAAAATTTAAATGTTTTATAGTGCAAGCTAAATTCGAGCATAGCCTACTTTATGATGCATCGGTTAAGATTTAATTGTAGGCTATTATTAGTATGCATATTACACTAACTTTTGCATAGTAAACGTTCACATCATTTTGACATAGGCTAATCATTATGATGTACGTACTGATAAAAATTCACCAACTACGTGGGTGAGAATTGAGCCCACGAGCACAGACCGCTATGGATTAGGCACGTTTTAAATTATACCATACCGCCTCCGCAGTCCGTACTGCGGGAGTCAAAACTGTGAAACGATACAACAACGCCACCATGCGGTCAAACGGTGTTTGCATGTAAAAAAAAAAAAAGTAAATATATACCACATTTTCAAGGGGAAAAAATTATGGAAAAAAGAAAAATTCATAGATCTAATTTGATGTGGAATCCATTTTGAAGGCATACACATTTATTTAAAAATATTTTATAAATAACCGCAAACGTAGATAAAAAAGAAACTAACAACATAATAGTATTTGTATATTTCTGGTTTGATGATTTTTAAAGATTGTCTGCATATAATAAATATTACATATTTAATTCTCTCGTTGACATTTTTGCAATGGAAAAATCATCTGGTGGACTCTATTGTAGATATAGATGACAATGCATGCGTCCAACAGGCTTAACAACGGTTGCAGAGTCAGTCAACTCGCTCTCGGCTTTGACCGTTCCAATATGGCGGAAAACTATTCTGTGTGTATTGGGACAGTAAAAGAGATCGCGGCCCATAGGAGCATAGACATCCCGCTTACGAGGCATCTACAACAAATGTCTTGGCACTAACCGGAAGCGGAAATAGCGAGGGAGCGGTTGACAGCTGCTGGACATCACCAGAAGGGGTTCGCCAACAAAACAATACATTTGTGCAGAAATGGAGCTGTGTGAAATATTATACAACAAGGCTGAATACATCGAGACGGTATGTGAATATTGTCGATTATATCCCACAGCTGAATCAAGCGGTTGCAAATATTACATTCAGAATGAACTGACTGACTAACGTTAGTTTGTCTCAGCAAACCGAATGTGTTTTCTAATAAACAAAGTGTTGTTTTGACATAACTTACCAGTCACTAAACGTCTGTATCAGTTGCTTGTTGTTTATTTAATTACTCAGATCAGCCCAGAGCTGTGGACCATCATATGATGGTAATGTGCACATTTGTTCTCTCTAGGCATCAGGCAACAAAGTCAGCAGACAGTCGGTGCTTTGCGGCAGTCAAAACATCGTCCTCAATGGAAAAGTGAGTTTCCTCCCGTTGTTTCGTTCTGTTTTTTCCCCCACCATGTTAACTTTGTGAAATTGGCAATTTTTTTTTCAGACCATCGTGATGAATGACTGTATCATCAGAGGAGATCTTGCTAATGTCAGAGTTGGGCGCCACTGTGTCATTAAAAGCCGAAGTGTGATCAGACCTCCGTTTAAGAAATTCAGCAAAGGGTGAGTAAGCATGTGCATTCTCGCAGAACCTTTCAACTTTTTTTTGATCCTGGAACAACATTTCAATCAACCAATCAGATTTGAGGAATGCATTTGCAGTTTGTCAAGTTTGTGCTTACAACCAGTGTTATTCACCATCATTTCCATCTGAATTTCAGCGTAGGGTTAGGTAGGTGGTGTAGTTATAAGATTAGAATTAAATTTTCAGTTACGAAATGCGTAAATACATTGACACAGGAACGCGTCAAATAAGGATGTGCCTGTATTCTCACTAATCAAATTTAATTTGTTTTATTTAACTTGCTTGTGTTTGTTGTGTGTACATTAGAGTGGCTTTCTTCCCCTTGCATATTGGGGACCATGTGTTCATAGAGGAGGACTGTGTTGTCAACGCCGCTCAGATCGGATCATACGTCCACATTGGCAAGAACTGTGTGATTGTAAGTATCCCCCTCAACTGTATCCTCTCATTTGTTTTATGGGTGTGACATTTGCAGTGATAAAGCATGTTTTTTTTTAGGGTCGACGCTGTGTCTTGAAGGACTGTTGTAAGATATTGGATAATACTGTCCTTCCCCCAGAAACAGTGGTTCCTCCATTTACAGTTTTCTCTGGCTGTCCAGGTCAGCACCTTCAGAGACATCGTTATTTATTTTATATTAATTTATAATGTTATGAATGTGATAAATTGTTTATTGTTACTTATAAATATTGTTAATTATTAATCTGGTAATGTAATTTAGTGAAGTGAATTTATTTTATATCATGTCAACAATTAATTTTAGAAGTGATTGAATGTAATGAAGTGTATCTAAATGTAAGCTTCTTTGTCATTCTGTATTTCAGGTTTATTTTCAGGAGAGCTCCCTGAATGTACCCAGGAACTGATGATCGATGTTACCAAGAGTTACTACCAGAAGTTTCTCCCTCTCAGCCAGATCTAGGAATAAACTTCAGTTTGTGCCTCGCAAACTTTTTCATTCTTGGACCAAAGGAACTAATATTCCCCAGCCTTCCCTTGCTTTAGGTCACAATTGTAAATCTCAAAATGCTACTTAATTCTGTTCACAGTTGCAGTAAAAATCCCTTGCTGTGTTCATGGCTATGTTAACATAGAATATAAAATTTAAGACTATGTGTATTATACGCAACCACCACATATCTCCTGCATTTCATGTCAGAATTTTTAGATTTCTGTTAATATCTCACACCACTTGTCTTGTTTGCGTGGCTAGGAAAAATATCACAACACAGTGATAAGTTGTTAGACTGAACTAGGACCTTTATTTATTGAACAGTACAATTTCTGCAACACTAAAACTTTTCTGTGTGCAAAGACAGATTACGGATGGTAATAAATGTATTGTTTTGTATAAAGAAAAGAGCATATGTACTGACTCATTTTAAGTGGTCAGCATTGTTTTTTTTGTTTTGTTTTTTTACTAAACGACACACTCCTTTAGTAAAGTGCGGTCATATTAGTAAAAACAATTTCTGCAAAAAAGGTTTATTGTCAATAATGTAACAATGCATGATCACACAGATATCATTTTCAAATCAGGCAACTTTCTGTGGGTCAAAGCAGTTAATGCATGTGACCAACAAGAGCCCTTTGAAAGAATCTGCATAGCAAGATCTTTCCCTCGAGCAAAAGTCTATTGTGGATTCCTATTGAAATGACTCGATTTTCAAATCTCGCTGTAAAACGGTTAAAGACTACCTGCCACTGTAGCCGTGTGCAAATGTTATTTACCTGTGCAAGGAACAGGATGATATGCAAGAAACATACTCCGTAGATAGATGCACTACATTTCATTTTCAAAGCTACACTTTCAGTATTTGAAGTGGGGATCGTTCAGGCTATTTTAAGCAATGGATTTCTACAAACATGCTTCACACAATTCAAGTACATCCATGTATAGTGTTACTTGTTATAACTTGCCTGTTTATATAGTGGGAAATGGTCTTGGCCCCTTCTAGACTGCAACAAAAAATAATAAAATCATAAATTATTGAAAAACAATTGATTTAAAAATATATTTTTTAAAAACATACAGATATGCATTCATACAATGAACAATACCATTTGTACACATAGCATACTTGAAAAAAGGTAAAGATTTTTTTTTTTTCAGGTCTCTAATCCAATGTTATGCTACCTTTCTTCTGACATTTTTTTTTGTTGTTCAAACTAAGTACCGGTATACTCTTCTGTTCAAAAGTTGGGGGTCAGTATGATTTTTTTTCTTCTTTTTTTAAACAAAATGTATTATTTAATTCAGCAAGGATACATTAAATAGATTGTTACAAAAAGTTTCAATTTCAAATGATAAATTCAAAGTATTCCCATTCCTATGCAAAGTATTCTTAAACAAAATGTATCGCGGTTTCCACAAGAATATTAGCTTGGATAAGAAATTTGCCTTGAGCACCAAATCAGCATTTTAGAATAATTTTTGAAGGATTGGAGCAACGGCTCTATAAATTCCCTCTAAACTGGAATAAATTAGATTTCAAAATGTATAGGAAAGAGTTCAAGTAAATTGTAATAATATTTCACAATATTACAGCCTTGGTAAACATTAGAGGCTTCCTTCAAAAATATTTTAAAAAATCTTAAAAACCCCAAACTTTTGAACGCCAGCGTGAGGGGTCTCCATAATGTACTATGACTCAGTGATTTTTCTCATACACAGATCGGCCATATGGTTTAATACTCCTTTATCCCTTCAGTTCTTTCTGTACACTGTTGTTAAAGGAATAGTTCACTTTTAAAAGAAACTTTTGCTGATAATTTACTCACCCCCATGTCATCCAAGATGTCCGTGTCATTCTTTCTTCAGTCGAAAAGAAATTAAAGTTTTTGATGAAAACATTCCTGCATTTTCTCCATATAATGGACTTCATTGGGAACCAAACGGTTTAAGGTCCAAATGAGAGTTTCAGTGCAGCTTCAAAGGACTTTAAACGACACCAGACGATGAATAAGGGTCTTATCTAGGACCCTTCGTGTCATGACTCGAAAAAAGATTTGTTCATTTTGATGAACGAGTTTGAACAGGAGAGTCACGAACGCTCATCACAGTACAGAGCAAGGTGAGCATTTGAGCTTATAAAACTTAAAACTTTTAATTTATTTTTGAAATGACCGATCTTTTCACTAGTAGATAAGACCCTTATTTATTGTCTGGTGTCGTTTGCAAGCTGCACTGAAACTCTCATTGTGCCTTCAGTTCTTTCTGTACACTGTTTTTAAGGAGGGTTGGCCTTTTAAAGAAGAGGTTACCCCATAAGCAGCCTGCAGCATAGCTTCAGCAGTTTACTGGTAAAACGGCGCAAGTGTTCCTCAGTCCAGGTTCCATTCACATAACCACTGCCGACACTGTGCCTGTTGCTCCTCACTCTCCACTGGGTCACTGGTGCTCTTCTGCACGGGCTCTGGGTCTTTTTGGATCTCAGCTTGTGGCTTTGTTAAAATACTCTTCAGTAAATCCTCCAGATTGTTCACACATCTTTGTGGAGCCCATTTGGAGTCGAGGCTGGGTACAGCGGGATCTGGGGCTATGACACGGATGGGTTCATTCTCTAGAGGAATGTGCAGGAAGTAGGCATGCAGCATCATGCGATACGGAGCATTGTCTGTGCGTAGACTGTAGGTATAGTCGCCCACTATGGGGTGACCAATGGCACTGCAGTGCACTCGGAGCTGGTGCGTCCGTCCTATAAAGTTTAAGATACTTCAACTTTTTTTCATTTGAAACATCTATATATTTTTTTTCTGTACTGTTGATGGTACTGTACCTGTCAGAGGCTGTAGAAGCACTTTTGTGACTGGATCTCCATCATATTCTCCATACTCTAAAACGGTGAGCTCTGTTTGGCAGGGCTTGGGATTCTCACAACCTACCGTATATGACACGAAATATACACATGAATGTGTTTCAGTTAGTTTAATTATAATGTTCAATTTTGAAGCAAAAGAGATTCTGACCTTCTGTTCCTTCAATGCACATCATATGGGTCTTGCCCTCTGTTGTGTTCTTGCCAATTGCAAAGTCCAGGGTCATTTTCTCCTCAGCCACAACACCACGGACCTGCACAGGACATACACATAGACTGTTATTAGGAAAAACCTTCAATATTCATAGAATGTCTTAATGTACCAGGATGTACCAGTGCAAGATAAGCTTTGGTAACAAGTCTGTCTTTAAAACAGCGGTACGCATGCCCTGCTGCTGCCTTGTTCAGAGCCACACACAAAGCACCACTGGTAGAGAAATCCAACTGATGGCAAAACCTGCAGAATACAACGCATTTCAATGAACGAATGATAAGACAAGTGATGGTTTAAATTATTGTTGGGTTAGCTTATAGCAAATTAAAAGAAACACCCGGGAAAAAGACCTGAAGCCGTAGTAGGTGTAAGGATCTACAAGCTCTGGGAAGCGATGCTTAAGTTGACTCTGGACCGTCTGCTTCTCATACCACATTTTGCTGTCAATACGGATGTCCCAGTGTTTGTTGACAACTATATAGTTTGCACTGTGGTACAAAACACACAAGTTTTCCAGGCTTGCAGGCTCCATGGTCTCTAGATCTTTTGCCTATAGTTTGTCTCGGCACGAAGCAAACATTCTAAGTTACTTTAGAGAAAGCATTAGTTCGGACCATAAACAGGCTCGTACACGCTTTCTTCAATCATCTTGCAAAAAGTACTTTAACGTTTCTGGCTATTATAGGGTAGAACAAAGAAATTTACTTTGATAGACCATAGTAAAAGAAACATCAGCGAAAGTCTGATATGGGAAACTTGAAAAGCCGTAGTATTTTACTGTTTGTATGCGTCACTGGCAGCCATGATTGGTTCTTCCTCTTTTGATTTTTAGTGGTGGTTGACAACTTTTTGATGTGCATTACCGCCACCTTCTGAAATGGAGTGTAGATCAAAATAGCCTACTTTACCCGCTACAAAAAATTAAATAAATACATAATAATAACTTAACTCATATCCTTCTAATAAGCCCCACCCCTACCAAAAAAACAACAACACCAAAACAAATATTTGTCCCTATACCAAACATACCCTGAATTCAGTTTTATCAATTTTTTCCCTACTTAGCATATCTTTCAGAAACATAATTTCCTGCTTGTATCTAAGACTGTTAATAATTACATGTTCTGTTGACTCTATACTATTCTATAATACTACTACACTGCTCACACAACCCAGTTTCATGTTTTCCTAACTAATAGGTGCCTTATCGCTAAAATTGATGAAGAAAAATAATGCCTTAATCTTATCTAGGATGGGAAACTTTCTGAAAACCCCAAGTCTTTTATTTCCTTCATTTATTTATTTATTTTATTTTTTATTTTTTACTTTATTTGGATGTGCATTTTCTATGTCCTATGTTATGGTGCTTGTCTGTTGTCTGAGAAGACATTTCATATGTTGTTAAAAAAAAAAAGAAGCAAAAGCAAAAACAAAACACTAAAAGTCGCCATGATTGGTTCAGAGAATGTCCATAGATGGGCTTTGATTGGTACGTCTTCTTCTTCTTCCTCCGACTTTTATAGTCAACCGCACTAATCAGTGCATTACTGCCATCATCAGGTAGCTTAGCTCAAAAACATTCTATTCCTCTAACACTTTCTAATCATCCTCACTACATAAAAATAAAATCACACACTGTCTCAAATTAAAAGTTATTTCATGTTACACATACACAATATTGCATAATTTAAATGGTAATATATATTAATCAGCAACATAGAACTTTAATAAATCATTAAACGAGGCGAGTAACAAATGGTAAATTCATGTAAAGTCCGATTCGTGTTTTACTTAATCTTTTGAGTCGGATCTTTTCAATGATTTGGATTCGTTAGCAGTGTTCCACCGTTCGAAAGAACCGATTCTTGACAGAATGCGCACGCGCAAGTCAAACTTATGTCCAGTGACTGTCGCAGTGAATTGTGGGATGGAAATTCACAGACATGGCGTCCCGTGCGCTAGCTCTCTGTATGCGCTCCGTCGCTCGCGCCTCTGCAAGGTTAAATCATGGCAACATGTTAGCACGATCCGCCTGCGCGCCCCTCACCACAAAACAGCGAGCTCTCTCTGCCGTTTCACGCGGCCAGCGGACGAGGTGGACTGACTTATTGCGGGTGAGAGTTCAGCAGGCTGGGGATGTTTGTGTGTGGCCTACTGGTGCTGGATTATTCAGTGACCTACCTGTGTCCTGTTAAACATTCATGCATGACAGCGAGTAGCCATAGTCTCAGTTAAAATAGTGTGCGTTCACAACATACATCTACAACATCAGTGTGACCTGCAAGATTATTTACAGTAGAAATAGCTACTAGTTAAGCATTAGGAGAATACATTTTAGCCCTGTGCATATTCACTGGTGGTGGTTATTGCTCTGTCAGTCTCTTTACGTCTATTGTAGCTATTATTAAAGGAATAATTAACAAAAAATTACAATTCTATAATTGTGTCAATCCAAAACGCGCATGACTTAATTCTGAGGAACACAAAAGATGGACATATTCACAGACTCTTCGTTTGACTCTATGGTAAATGGTGACCAAAGCTATTAGTCTCTAACATTCTGTCCAACATATTTTGTTTCCTGTGAAACAAAATCAGTCATGTATGACAGTTTTCATACCTTCACTTGATAGAGGGAGATTACTTTTTATTTTAATGATCATTGTGTAGTATAATATATTTGGTCTCTGTGGCAAATTGCTTTATTTTTTCCCCCCTCATTTTCAAGTCATAATGTAAATGTTTGCATGTCTCTAGATTTCAGGCCCATCTGTTCATCTGTGTCGGCGTTACGGTGATCTTCCACCCCTCACTTTAGAGACCATCCAAGACCGTGTCATATACGTCCTTAAACTGTATGACAAGATCAATCCAGAAAAGGTGAGAGATACGTCACGCCTATTTTACTGTAACATTGCATGGGTGCACTGAAATTTGAAGGACAATTATGTGCATTTTATCTGTAATTCATTAATTTTTCAGTGTGGATATACAGGTTTATTGTTACTGCATTTGCTTGGTTTCCATTTGAGATATGCATCTATCTCTGACATGATTGACTCTTTTCTCCCTCCTCAAGCTTCAAACATCATCTCATTTCATGAAAGATCTGGGGCTGGATAGCTTGGACCAGGTGGAGATTATCATGGCTATGGAAGATGAGTTTGGTTAGTAGGGGTTTGTTTTAGTATTAAAGCATTTAACAACCGCCACATCTTATAAGCATTGAATTCTGAATTCAAATTCCACAGGATTTGAGATCCCAGATGCAGAGGCGGAGAAGCTTATGACTCCTGAGGAGATCGTAAGGTACATTGCGGATAAAAAAGATGTGTATGAATAGAGGTAAGTTATGTTATAAACGCCCTGTTTAATGAGCTATAATGCCTAGATTGTAGGTAACTTATGCATGCTTGGTAATTGTGTTTTTGTGATCCTAATATATTGTGTTTTTCCTCCTTTTCACTGATAGGATTGACTAGGATTAAACAATATGGATGTGGAACAGCGGTATCCACTCGTCATCCAGATTCTGTCTCTTGCTTATGGTGTCAACTGCCTTGTCATGTGTACTGTTGTATTTAATGAAAATGTCACTATAAACTCTTGGAAAATTGAGCTGAAAATAAAGCCAAGACTAAATTGTAATTCTTTGGTTTGTCATGCCACAAGTGAAGCTTCTCACTAGTCCCTCTGCTGGAAGGGAAGTGAAACAGCTACTTAATTTACAAGGCAGTGCCACTTTTTTCAAATGAAAAATTGCATCCATCACCAGTTTAAAATGCAAAGATGTCTGTAAGCAATTTGTAAAGATGTTTCAAAATGTGTGGCGCTTTCAACACTATTTTGAGGCAGGTAGTACGTGAGTGAAGTTCCCACGACATCATCTTATGATTACTGGATAAAGATGATTAAAAATCATTCAAATTCAGGCTGATTTACTTAATAATTTAGACTGATTTAAGGAGTTTGGTTCACATCCACAACTTGTTCAGGCCTCAAAGTCATGTTTGAAAAGTATTTTTTGGAGATTTATTTGGTGGCACAGAAATTATACTGCACCGTTAAAGGTGTATTGGATCTTTAACATTTTACTGGCCAATAGAAAACTGAATGACAACTGCACGTGACATCACCCTTGATTTATGATTTAGTATTGCAGCAGTGCTAAAGCCATCTCATGATAGTCCACCTTTATGTAAAATAAAACTACTTTTTCAAGGCCACTGTTTGACTACTTTGTGATGTAAACAAATGTGATAAGCCTCGAGAAGCCTTCAAACTGTATTCACTTTATAGCCCTTAATCCTGTAATTGTGGACAAATATTTTGGGGGTGTTTTTGAATTTATTTACTTCAAAAAGTACCATATTTTCTGTGTAATATATGCTTATTTTTTTGTTTTATTTTTTTTAAGCACATTAAAATATTATTCCAATAAGTTCTTAGAGCTAAAACCTAAAGATGAAGTGACTTTGCTGTCACCTGGTGTCTTATTTTGGCTTATTTTAGAATGCTCTAAATTACAGTTTTTCCCATTCATTTCTATGGGTGCCCATTTTTGACCCAAATACAAGATCAAGTTTTTTTTTCCCACCCACTTAACATTGTAGAATTGAGTAAAAAAAAATTGTGTGTATTCAAGAGGCAAACTTAAGAAAAGTAGCCAAGTCTTGTACCGCTTAGAATCAAGGGAAGTATTTTTTAAAAATAAATCAAACCTATTTTGTCCAGAATACGGTTTAGGATTAAAATACTATACGTTAGTGTGTTTATTTTTATTGTGAATGAATAAGGCTTTCATATGTACTACTGTACACCCAAAACACTTTACAACCATATCAGGGAATCTCTCAATCACCATTGAGATGTCTTTGAGTTCAACATCTCTACAGAGTTATTTTAGAACAAAGTTATGAAAACCAGAACTGTTGCTTTGGTAACTGCTGATTCTTTGGGGTATATTTTATTTCAAGTAACAAAGGTTTTTGGTTTTAGGAAACTATAACAACCCTGTAAATGAGTAATGATTGTCTTCATTTTCTTTTGGAGCCCTCCAGAGGCAACCCCCCCCTAACCATACAACTTTACATAAATTACACTCCACATAAAAGTTTTGTGATGAGGCCATATATCTAATGTCAAAATGAGGCATTTGATAAAGATGTAAGATTGAGTGTTTTCCAATTGCATTTGCAGTAAAAGTATATTAAAGAAAAAGCATTGCACACCATTTCACTGTTAGGCTTTATTGCGGGTTGTACCCAAGTTATACAGCTTTGTATTCCGATATTAAGATCAGGACTTTACAAACAGTTATCAGTCTACAAGTACAGCCAACAAAAGACCTAAAAACTACTCTATTACCTCAACTACCTCGTTACATATGCACTTAAGGGTACTAAAATTGAAAACCAAGCAACAAAGAAGGAAAAAAGAAAAACAGCATTACAGGAAACATTCATCACTACACATTTGAGTATCTACCATGTATTACTAGACTAAACCTTGTGTCAATTGTTACCAATACAAATAAGGATTGTCCTTCAAAAAGTGCAGTTCCCCAAGTTAAAATTCTAAGATGACCCCAGGAAGACGCTGAAAAGAACTTCCTGCTCATTTAAGTTATCTCATTGATGTTTGTTTCTATTCGTTTTTCAAACAGTCTATCAAAGCAGTGTGCATATAGGTTACATCATGTGAGCAAAAACTACTTCTGGACAGACCACGAGAAAAATTTGCCATTCCACGCACAGCCCGTTCAGTGAGGAGCGCTGTGAAAAAGGAAATGTTAATGCATCCCTCCATTTGCTACATCTGGCCAATTTGTGTGACAAAAATAAAAGAAGTTTCTCAATCATGGCACATTACAGGAATCGTATTTTTAAATCCGACCCACTACCGCGGTCAGGATTTCATTAAGCAAAGACACGAATATGGAAGCCTCACCCTACACTGCATAGACTCTCTTAGAATTTCCCCATGGCGGAAGCGTTCATCCGTTTCTTGTGCTGGTTTCACTAAAGCTTTTTGGGTTTATAATAACATGACAGCAATACTCACAGTTTAAGTCAATTGCCTTAGCACATTGTTCAACAGTAGGAACCATTTAAAAGACATGGGTATATTTGCTCACAGGATAAATCAGAAAAGAACGACAATTTCAGTACAAAAGTAGAATGTCAGGCCAAGTCACTTTTTCATTTCCTCCAGGTTCAACCTATAAAAATGGGGATTGTACATTGCTCATGAATATCCATCCTCAAAACATCCATTTTGCAAGCGACATTTGAAGCATATACATTGTCCAGCTTTTACAAAACAAATCCCTTTCCTCCCCCTACTTGATGATTTGGCATGACAGTGGATTATTAAAATGTCTCAGCATGACAGTTCTGTCTAACACCAAACAGCTGCACACACATACAACAAAATTAAGAGGAGGTTGTGGGGGAAAGAGAAAAAAAAACGACAACAACAAAAAAAAAGAATAATCAAAGTGGAAACAAACTGGGTGCCAATGGCTTTTCCCTACGCTTTCACAGTTCACGTCATAAAAACAAAGCCACGAAGAATAGGGAAACTAGCATGTTTGCCAAGACGGCGGGAAAGAACCCATTCAGAACCATTGGTAAAGCTCAGCGCCGCACTTCCAGTAAGGACTAACGCTATCCTAGATGCATACAAACATGAAACTGAAGCACAAAAGATTGAGCAATCCACATTGAGGGAGTAAACAAAGTCACGGCAATCCGATCGGTCATACCTGCAGTTACACGCCCCCATACAAGAGGAGAATACTCGGGCTCCTGATGCGCAGGAATGGAGTGGACCACTCAAACATGCAGGCACAAACGCAGTCTAGCAAATGTACACAAAGAAGAATAAAAGACAAACAAAAGGCCCGTCCAGTCTCCAAAGCTACAGTCTGCCTCCAGAACACAAATACAGTACAAGCTTCTCTAGTTCATTATGTACACCAAGTGCAATTCCAAAAACTTTCGTTATGTAGTTCCTCTCCGGTGTTCCACTTAAAATTAGTCAGACAAACAAAATGAGATTAGCCAGGTCTGGAATTAAGTAAACAAATCCTTTGATTGAAGTATATTTGGTAAAGCGGTTACTTAAAATGGTTCAATACTGGCACACAACCATAAAGTGAGGGCAATACTCAGGGTTTTTGTACGACGAGTCATTAAATATGGATAAGTTAACACCACGCAAGTTCTACTTCTCAAATAAAACAAACGACAACAACAACAGCTTAAACAAATATTAAGGTCCATGGCTTAGCCTAATGCTGACATCTTTCTCTCCCTCTTGAAGCGTCTCATAAATTGTGCACCTAAAATATAGTACAATAAAAGTCTGTAATTCTATGCACATTATTTGAACTACCAGCAATAGATTACATTCACCTCTAATCCAGCCTTCCTTGGCCACAAGTACAGAGGCAAGCCATTTTCAATGACAAACCAGCTTTGAGGAAGGGGGAGAAGGGGAGGGGGATCGGGGAAGAAAAAACTAAAAAAAAAAAAATAATAATAATAATAATAAAAATAAAATTAAAATAAAATGGTAATGAGCAGCCAAAACATTAATTTATTAATATTGTAAGGAACTTCAAATTAACACAACCAAAACTGTACACATTACAATCATTTTCTATTTGTAAACAGTTAAAAGCCACTTGACTTGTTGCATCTTCGGACACAATTTGAATCAAGGCAATGAAATGTGGACGACTTTTGCACTGTTAAAATAACCAAACAAGATTTTCTTTAACACCAGCTCTGGCGATGAGGAAAATATATATGTATGTATATATATATATATATATTTTCAAACAATGTATATGCAAATTGCGGAAACATATAAAACATTACTCCAGACAAAGAAAAAGCGATTCTGTAGGCCGAGTCAGTGGCCACAGTATGCATAGTTACAGATTTCTGCTTTTTCTTATGACTTTTGACAGTTACTTCGACAGTCACAAAGCGAAAAACATTGAGCCACTCAGTGGGAAAAAAAAGGGAAGGACTAGATAGTGATTCAGCAAACCATATCCACTCATTAATAAAAAGACAGCATATTCAAAAAGCAGTATGTAGAATGTCTCCAGCTTAAAGCAGTTATTTGGCAGAGAAAAACTTACAGAGCTATAAGTAGTTTCAGTGCTAAAAGTTGGATTTTTCCTACAAGGAGTTTCTATGGGGGAAAACTGGCTATATTTCCTGAGAACCATGCTGGTTATTTAGCAGACAAGAGGAATAGATAAAATAACCAATGGCATGGCCAAACACTGATCAGTATTCCCAGAGATAGAAAGCTTCGTCTTCATCCTCAAGATTTTTTTTATTTATTTATTTTTGTCGCTTTTTGTTCTTTTTTTTGTATTTTTTTTTTTGTATTTTATATTTTTTTTAATGATTTTTAAAAAATTCTTTATGCATTTTTTTTTTTTTTTCCATTTAAAATAAAAGGAAGAATGACCATACTTTCCCCCTCAAAAAGTTTTGTAAACAAGAGGGCACAATGTGATGCCTCCAAAACAAAATTGAAAGCCTATTTTGAAAGTGCTGTTCCCCCTGGCTTGCAGGTCGGGTTTGCAAGTCACAGCTGTGGCTACAGTTTTTTACACTGCAGAGCTAAATTCTTTAGTTTTAAAACAAAATTGGTGCAATACTTATTTTCTGTAATATCATCAAATAATCCTAAGTCAGCATCTATATCTTGATCTCAAACTCCACAATACCACAATAAGGTAGGCGTACATCAAGGCATAGTAGAGCGCACACTTTAAGAACATCCTTGAGTAAACAACTACACTGGAACTGTCGGCTCCCTCCATATTGCAGATTATACTGAGAAAAACCACATTCAGTGCAAAGTTAAAAAAGCTCAAACTCCAACATTGTCAGCAAACAAAATGCAAATAATAAAAACAAAAACGAAAAGAATTGGAATTCAAATAAACATGATGAATAAACAGATGAGCTCAACTGAAGCTTTTTTTTCTGTATGAAGAGCACTACCTGGAAGTGTAAATACATCCTTTCACATTATAGAATTGGCCTGCATGATTCAAGTATTCAAACTGATATGTTTTGGGCTAAAACAAAGTGGACATATGTGCAGAAAAAAGAAAGAAAAAAAAAAAACGTAACTTGTTTCCACAGGGTGACCCCGCATTGTTTTTTTTGTTTTTTTTTTGTAAGTGAAGAAAGTCTAACTAGTGCCATTTGATTTTTATATATATATATATATATATATATATATATATATATATGGTCATATGATTATGATTAACTATTTCCACATTGAGGTCACGGGTTTGTATGTTTGTTTGTTTGTTTTTTTGTCGTTTTTTGTTTGTTTTTAAGTCAGAAGGTGAAAGATGCACTACATGGACTCCCCACCTCCCATCAGATGGTCAACAGGAAGGAAGGAGCTGATGGGGGAGGGACTGTTGATTCTCCCTCCCTCACCACCACTGGGGCTGCCCCACAGGCTCGTGGAGTAATTGGGAACGCCCCAGAGAGACGAGCCGTGCAGGTCTCCGCTGCCGGCTCCTGACAGCCCGCCGCCGTTCCAGTGATTTGGATCAGTGCGGTTTGGGAAGGGGTGAGAACCCTCGATGGATCCGATCCGATTCTGAGAAGAGCCCAGCGTCTGCCAGCTGGGAGAGGCAGTCATTGACTGACCTTGTGCAAAGAAACGATTAATTTCCTCTTCACTAGCAAACTCTGCAAGAATAGTAGTGTTCCCTAAAACACACCTGAGGAGGAAGAGGAAGAGCCTTTATCAGTATTGTGCCTTACATTCTCCAGCACGTGGTTCTGGGAATCTGGTAACAGCTTTGCACAGAGGTCGCCGCATTATTATAGTTTTTCAAGCAAATAAGTAAACAAGCTGATAAACTTCAGCTAGGACACTTAAAGGGTTAGTTCACCCAAAAATTTATATTCTGCCAGTAATTACTTTCCCGCATTTTGTTCCCGTTCATCTTCGGAACACAAATTAAGACTTCTTTGATGAAATCTTACTCTTACTCTCACTTCATTTTGCGCCATTGGTAAGGCACTTTCACATTTTCACGTTGGTTTTTCACGTGGAAATGCACACTTTAGAACCATTTTAAACAGTACATCGAGACCCATCTGTGTCATCATCTCAGTTCTCACGAATGTGTCGTGGCCCTCATCGTGATCTCACATCAGAGGCACATAATGAATAAATGAATTAAGTCGTTATTTTGGGGGGTTTTGCACACAAAAAATATTCTCGTCGCTTGATAAACTTAAGGTTGAGCCAATATAGTCACTTGGACTACTTTAACAATTTTTTTTTACTAACTTTCCTTGATTGGCAGAATGAAATTGCCAAGAAACCTATGAAGGAGTGAGACAGCTCTCAGACTTAAAATTAAAACATGACTGAACAGTATCATGCATATCCCCTATAAACCTTATTCAGAGCAGCACCATTCCAGGTATGAAGCGATGCTGTGAGGGATAGACTTATGGCTATATCGAATATATCGCTATATATATATATATATATTTTTTTTTTCATTTCGTTACGGACAATGGTGAACCGTTAATAAACACTGATACCGTTTTAACGCCCAGCCCTAATTTGCAGTCTTAAGCTGTACATTGTGAAGATTCTATTTCTAACAATTATAAACCAATCAATGCTTTTGATGAATCTAGTTATCCAAGGTAGAAGTGGTAAAGTTATGTATAGCTAAATTGAACACACTCACCTGCTCAGTAATTATTAGCAATCATAATATGATTTCTGTTCTTTACCTGTATTGAAAAAAAAAAAAAAAAGATGGACTTACATGTGCAGTGACTTCTGGGCTTTTGCCGCCTCCTCCTTAGAGCTGTAGCAGACCACAGCATTGCCATGGGGAAGGTTCAGATGGAATGTGATCAGTGGACCGTGCTGCATGCACAGAGTTCGCAAGGTGGAGCCATCAATCTGCAAAACAGGTCACACAATAAATGATTTTGCTGTGCCGTTATATGTAAAAAGATATCTAGATTTAAAGCATTTCCTTTAATTAATTAACAGCCATTACTTACAAAATGGCTAATGAGAGTTGGCCATTGAGAATTATTACAAACTTGATCATAATGAAAGCACATTTAATGAAACCATATCTACGGTCATGTCCAAATGATGCAAAACACAACCTAATATGTAGATAGAAATTGCCTACATTGTCTGAATTCAGTCAGACATAGAGAATAAGTGTTTATTAGACATTAGTTTTTCCTTCTAAAACAGTATAACTTATCTATATTAGTGATTCATGGTTTTTCATTAATCCCTAAACTGCAAAATACTGTGTTGATAAATAGTTTTATGGTGTTTTGCACCGCAAAAATCATGAGTGCTGAAACAGGCAATGTGAATGCTATGGAGTGTTAAAATGAGCCCATACAGTCCAAATCATTAAACTCCTTACCTGAGGTGTGAGGTTTTTGAGTACAAGCCAATTAGTTCTCCCTGAGCTGCTGTCACCCCAGCTGGAACCTGTGAACAATGATCATTTCAGGTCTCTCTCAATACTTTAAAATCTACAGTACAGGCACTGTTAATAGAGTTTATAAACTGTGACTAACTAGAGTTGAATCTGGATTCAGAGCCACCCCAGCCTGCCAGTCTGAGAGAGCCGTTGTCCCAAGATGAGGGCTGTTTCTGGCCAGTCAGGCCAGGTGGAGGACGGGACGGAGCAGAGATGCCTTTTGAAGTGAGAGGAACCTTCCACAGCTCATGAGCCAAAGAGGTGTTGGTGACTGTACCAGGAGACCATTTGGAGTCACTGTTTCTGGCTGCAGGGAAGAAAATAAAGTTAATGGACTGTATTTGAACCATAGGCCTGTGTGGCTAGGCCAAAATAGTTGCACACCAACCTGAAGTGCTTTGTGCTGTACTGCTGAGGGAACTATTGTGGTTGGAGGCACGAATGGATGTCCAGGCACTATTTGAAGGCAGCGTGGTGTTAAGTGATGAGGATGGCCCTGGAAGAACAGAAAAATTAATTGTTGAAAACACGAACACATACAACTCAGCAAATTCCAGTACCGTTCAATTTTCTTTAATGGTTTCTGAGCAAAGTCTCTGACTTGAAAATCAAATAAGGATCACAAGATATATTGTGAAATATTTTCATTAATATATTTCAAGTTTAAAATGTTACTTTTATAAAAATTATTTCATTAAAAAAATTCTTACTGACCACAAACTATCGAACAGTACTTTCTAATGATATATAGCTGGTTTAACAGATCACTTACCATTGTTCCTGTCCCTGAGGTGATCAACATCCCGGACTGTATTAATGGAGAGATTGTTAATCACACTGCCTGGAGTGACAAATGGGTCAGTTTCAGGATCAATGTTTGGATATCCTTTCCAGGGCTCACCAGGACGGAACTCTGTCAAATAAACATAACATGGTGAGCTCATTCATGCCACAGCGCCATTCTTAACCAATTGAGCTTTTGTGTAATATTCTATTTGAGTAAAAGATTTGATTGGAACATGTAAATCATTTATGAAACAAATGGGTCTGAACCTGGTGGCCAGTTGACATTAGTTGAACCATGAGGTGATTTGGCACGGCTGGGCCAGCCATCTCCCACAGAGCCAGGAGGACTGATGGGAGTGTTACTGGCATTCATGAAATCATATGGACCAAAGGGCGAGTCTTCAAGCCTCAGGCCAGATGTTATAGCACCTATAGTAAAATATCCATTAGATTTTTTGCTCACATTGTTTGATGAGATAAGATTAGGGCTGCACAAAAATGACTAAAAATGATTACTTATCCTTGATAATATAATACACTCTTAAATAGAAAAAAAATATCCGAAAAGAACATTGAGATGGAATGCACTTGTCACAATTAATCACATGGTCATATTTTTTTCATATCAGCTTTGAAGTTATAACTGATAACAAAAAAGGGGTTCTCAAATGGGGAAACCCACCAGATTTGCTGGGGTTTTGATCAAGTGGCGAGTTAACGGAGATATCCATGGCAGTCCACTTCTTCAGGCGGGACTGTGGCTCCTTAAAACCAACACTACTAATGTCGAGGTTGCTTACATTCAAGTTTGAGTTCAAACCTAGAGGAATACAACAATAGTCATTTAAAATTTTCTGTCAGAATGTGCATTTTCTTAACATTTCTGGTATCCAGGAATAAACCGCAGCAGCAGCTCTAACAAAAAGGTCATATCAACATTAGATTCAATTTAAATGCACTCAGTGTTTTTGATATATCAAAGTATTGAATTTTGTAAAAAATTCTAATTATTTATTACGGTGACAGCGTCACAACTAAATACTTTGGCTTTTGTGTAACACTGTTCACACCACAATGGCAGCCGCATTGTTGCCGACACTGATTGCCAACAAACAAATTACAGAGTGCACAAAAACTGTGGGACAACAAAGGAAGGCGACAAGCAAAAACAACAACAATATTGTCAAGCGGCAGAAATTATAAGTACAAGCACCAAACGTATGCCAGCCAAACATCGGATTTACAATCAAATAATAAGGGTCTGAAATCAGAAGGTTTTGCAACACTGCATTGTTTTCATTTTCCCTCTAATACAAAATGCAAGAAGAAACTTTCCTGGGGACAACAAAATAGATAGACTGTATTCACCTCTTGCTGGCAGAGAGCTGCTGTCAGGACAGAAGTTCTTTCCTACCCGAGGGTTGATGGGAGAGCCTGGCACCATGTGGCCATTGCTCATAGGTGGGGCTAGGAGGCTATGACTTTGACTAATGCCAGCTGGCAGATAGCCTGACATGTCAGATGCAAACATTGAGTTGGGCTTGGCAGCTTGGTGCAACACAGAGTCAGTCTGACCTACATTAAGATGGGGAGGACACCCACCTAAAGGGAAATTACTGAACGAGCTCAAGGAACTTTGTTCTTTCTGCAGGTCAGAGGCATTGGGGGGCATGAAGTTCTCCATATAGGACTTGAGGCTGGGTTGGTGCAGTGAGGGTGGCTGAGGGGAAGTCTGTTGCTTCATCAGGGAGGGATCGAGATGGCGAGGAGTCTGGATCATTTGCTGGGACGGACCCAAACCACGACCCTACATAATTCACAAATGAAAAAATTACATAAACGAGCCAAGAGAGAAAGAAACAAGCAGACAAGTTGGTCCAAGAGATCACAAACCTGCTGTTCCTGCTGCTGGCGGCTGTTAACAGGCATGGCCCTCTGGTTTTGAGCTTTTTGCTGCAAAAGGAGACGCTGGAAGAAAAAGTAATATGTATCGCTAGGAACATGGTAACTTATCATTTAAATATCTTCTAGGCTGTTACTTGCAGTGGGATCAATACCTGTAACTGATTAATCTGTGAAAGCTGAGACAGTTGGTTGAGTTGAGACAGCTGGTTCAGCATAGCCACCTGCTGTGGGCCAAACAGAGGGTTCAGACCCCCATTATTGGGAGAGTACTTCAACAGGGGTGGAGGAACCTGCAAAGAGAGATTGTACACATTCGTTAAAAAAATAAAAGACCTACACATTTTAATGGTTACAAATTATATTGATCCCGTCTCTTGATTTCCTTTTAATAAAATTGCAAATCATTTCTTAGTAAAATATAAATAATATTTTTTTCTTTAAATTTTGCAGCCCTATTTTTAAGAGTTAATTTATTCATTTCCATGTGTGGAATCACACATTTAGAAATTTCCTGTCACTTTTTTCTGATAAATGGCCTAAAGCAACAGTGGGAACCTTGTTTACCACACAGCTTAAAGGGTTTGTTTACTCAAAAAGGGTTTCTTACCCTCATGTCATTCCAAACCAGCAAGTCTTTGGTTCATCTTTTGAACACAAATGAAGATCGTTTTGATGCAATCTGAGACCTTTCTGTACTCTCCATTGACAGCTATGCAACTTTTTCAAAAAGTTTATGAAGAGACCGTAAAACTAATCCATATGAATTGAGCAGTTTAGTCTTGACTCGATCACTTTATACAATTAACAGATTGAATTTAGGCTTTGGAACAACATGAGGGTGAGTAATAAATGACAGAATTTTCATTTTATCTTAAAGTGAACTGAGCTTTAGAAACCCAATTGTAGTTACCTGAGAGGGAAGTAGTGGAGGAGGCACTTGGTTGCGTAGAGTGGGCTGAGTGGAGTTCAGAGGTTGTGCTGGAGGCTGCTGGGCGTTCCGGCCTTGTGCTGCTGCATTACCGACACTGTACATGTTTACATTCTGTGAAGAAACACAAACAACCCACATGTACATAATGAGCATTCAGCAGTCCAGTGCATTCACAGCTTCAGCACACAGGGCTTCAGCTCTGCATGCACTAACTTACCTGCCTAACAGAGGCAGAGTTTGGATGGTGAGGCCCTGGCAAGTTGCATTGATTTTGTTGTGCATTATTCTTAAGGGAAATGCAGATATTTTGCATGGAAGTGCTCTGTGAGTTTCCGAACTCCTCCGCTACAGAGCTATTACATGCAGTCAGTGAAAGCTGAAGCACAATCACAGGCCAAGCAAAGAGAGAGAGAGAAGCAGGACGCAGAGAACAACAGCAGTGGTCAAAGAACAGAAGGAACGCCAGGCCACGAGAGAAAGACACATTAACAGCCACAGAAAAGGTGACAGAAAGGCTATGTTAGCATCCTCTTTGGCATGTTTTAGGGAATTGGAATAAGAGACTACGATTCCTGAGCGACTTGATGTTACATACCCCATGTAATTGATTGAAGCATTTCCTTGTGAAAAAGGAAATTTGGGCTTTCCAATGGGGCCTTAAGATTACTTAAAATCATTTTAAAAAAGAAAATCTTGCTTAAAATTAAGCAAAAATATATTTAATATATTATATTTATATATTAATATATTTAATTGAATTTGCTCCCTTAAATGCACCCTCAAAGCTCTTAACATCAGGAATAGTTTAATTTGAACATCAATTTTACAACATAGTCTCTTTGCGTTGCATTTCTTTCCCATAGAGGGTGCTAAAGTAACCAACAAGCAAAAGCGACAGTCACCGTGTGAAGTGAAGGCTCCATTAATGCTATAAAAGACTAGGAAATAACTGACCTTATCCATATAGGGATTACGGTCCATGGGAGAATCTTTGTGGATCTGGTGACGTGAAGCAGGATTTTTTCCGTACTCTCCCATATTAAGAACATGCTTGTCAACATCAATGCGCTTGTCTGTCATTCCTGCAGGATATGAGAGGAATTTATAGATTTTACAATATCATGCTAGTATTCATGGACTGTGACAAACATCACTCAATATAAGCATATGTGAATGTGACCTACCTCCAGACATATCCATCTTATTGCTCTTCATGGAATCTTCAGCAGAGTCCCTCTGTAAAAAGACAGAAGCGTGAGCATGCTAACCAATGAGTTTGTTTCTCAAAGGATTTGTGGTCACCTAATATCTAAAATAAACAGGTTTCAATCGAAATTGTAGCAATCAGAGTATTAATCCTTACAGGGTACATGTTGTTGAACTGTTTCACAAACTGATTCATCCATTGAGAATCATCTTGCTTGTTGGGTCCTTTGTTCAGCTAAGGAAATAAGCAAGCAAAATGTACACAACTTTGTCACTAAGTCCATTCAATAAAACAGTAAATTCAATGAATGATATTTTAAGTAGTTCTGCCAGGATAAATCAGGTCTGAATTATTACCTTTGGAGGCATCTTCTTGTAGGAACTGTTACCGGGTTGGTTCATTTCCAGTGATGAATTGTTCCACATGCCCATCTTTTCTTGCCCTTCCTCCTCCAAGTTGGAGTGCCCTGCCATAGAATTCTGCTCTCCATACCAGTCTTGCATAGGTTTGGATCCTAAAAAGACAAAAACAATATCAAATGAAAAATAAATGGGTGATGCGTTTAGTGATTGAAAATGAATTCACTGAACACATTTAAATTCATTATATTTCACCCTGATATTTATATTGGGGAAAAACAAACAATGGGTTTAAAATAAATCAAAGAAAGTTCTTTGCCTTAATTGGAGATGTGACTTACCAGACTTGTGCTGTGACTGCTGTCCTACAGCAGCATTGCCCCAGCTACTGCCTCCAGAGTTTTCCCTCCCTGGCCCTTCCCAGCTGGAACCCGTGTCAACAGGCTTTCCCCAAGCAGATGTGCCATTGTCTACAGTGACAGGTGAAGCAGGATGCTCAACCCAGGTAGAGGACTCATTTTTTTGTGGCCCACAGTATGTCTCTCCCCACCCTGCGGGCAGACACAAAAAAAAAAAAATTGAAAAAAAATTTGAAAAAGACCAGAACACAAAATAATACTATTTTTATAGTATAGTATTTTTTTTTTTGCAAATAAATTAAATCGTCAGAGCAAACACGAATCAGAAGTGTGAATTATTAGTTACATAACAAATAGCTATGATAATTAAAAAAAAAAAAAAAAAATAAAAAACTAAACTAGTTTTTAAAGGTAATCGTTTAAAAACTAAAATCTAATACCAAGGACAACGCAATTAATATGTACAAATAAACTCCAAAGTGGCATTGGACACCACCTGCAAACTTTCCGATGGCCTAAATCCGACCCTTGCATAAACATGCTTATGTAAGCTTTGTTTACTCTGAAGTCCTTCTAATGGATCAGCTTACATTTAACCACTAAGGTTTTTGCACTTTCACCATCCAGCATATGCCCTGAATACTTCCTTCAAAAATAGCCCTGTTCATGTGTGCCCTCCTGCTCAAGTTGCTGCCATATGACTGCACCATCGGTCAGAATGTAACCCAAGCCTATTTTTCCCTGAGCACAGCTCAAACACGGCCAATATCAAATGGAGTGGGAACACTATTTGAACCTATACCTTTACAGTTCCCATTTAGCAAATAGCAAAAATGAAAAGGCCGTCTCTATACAATCTATATCAATTTCAATGTACTGCATGAATATATTTATATAGACATGCAAACAAACACTACTCATAAGTTCAGAACTTGTCAGTGCAGGAGGTATTAGAGGAAAGGGGTGGGAGGAAAAAGTGCATCCAGAAAATTCCAAAGGGATGAGTGCATGACTAAAGATAAATATAATGGGTGAGTAATAATTGCCAAGGCACTGCCAAAAAGGAAGACACCCACCTGAGCTGCAGTTCTTTTCCTTTGGAGCCATGGAGCTTTGGGCTTGTGGGGGTTGACAAACAGCCATGCCATCCTGCTCTCCAGCATTGTTCTTGTTCCACATATTTACGTTGCCAGAATTAAATTTGATGGGATCTCCCCATGCTGAAGTACCATCATCAATATCCATTCTGCGCCTGATGGATTCAGGGGATGGCTCTTCCCATCCAGTGGAAGATTCTTCTTTGGAGGCAGCAGGTATTGGGCCCCCCTGCCATCCTGTAGGCTTGTTCTGACTAGGGGCTCCAGTCTGAGAGGTGTTTCCACTCCTGTATGTTCCCATGCTGGATTCTTGGGACTTGACCCATTCTGAAGAGTTGTTTGTTTTTGTGTTATCACCCCAAGCAGGGCTGGAGTGGCTTGGGTTGATTGGCTCGCCCCAGGTTTGGTTTTGATTGTTGGTCTTCGGTGAGTCTCCCCATCCTGTTGCTGGACCACTCTGGTCAGGAGTGTTGTTGCCTCCACTGCCTCCCCAGATGTTGCTTGTCCTGCAGCGCCCAGGATCACTCCAGCCCGATCCAGAGCGGTCGCTGTCACTGTCGCAGCCACCTGAACCAGACTTCTGGGGCTCTACCCAATGGTTTCCCTTTGGGCCTTCTCCACCCCATCCCTCTCCAGCAGAGCCCCAGCCTTGCTTTGCCTTCGGCGCATTATTCCAAGAGGACTTCTCATCCTTGGTGCTATTCCATGAGGAACCACCTTTGTTCATTGTAACAGAAGGGGCATCCTCCCATCCATTTTGCCCAACTGAGCTTTTGGTTTCTCTCCAGCCAGTTAAAGGTTTCGATTCAGACCACCCAGACACTGAAGAATCGCTACTTTTGTTGGTGCTGGGTCCATCTCCCCACCGACCTGAGTTAGATACCTGAGGGGGAGCACTGCCCCAGCCAGTCTGTCCACATCCTGTCTTTTTATCGGAGCTTGAAACATCCCAGACAGTGTTCTGGCGGACTGGAGTTTGTCCCCATCCAGTGTTGGACAGCACCCTGGGGTCCACGTCAATTCTAGAGAGAGCTGCATTAACCATCCCCTGTTGATTTCCCCTCCGTCGGTTGCCACCCCGCTGCCCGTCCCGCTCACTGCGACCTCCCGAGCTCTCTCCGCTACCTTCACTGCCTGTAGATTTGTTCCACGTGCTGCCTTGCAACGCTTGACTAGAGCTCCCTATACCAAGAGCATCATCCTCCAAAGACTTCCATCCATTAGTTCCCTTTCTGCTTCCATTTGTGCCATCATTGGAATGCTGACTGTTGCTGGGCAAAGTGTTCCACTCCCCGTTTGAGACCTTAGTGCCAGTGTTTGAAGAGGATGAGGAAGAGGAAGAAGAGGAAGAGGCACTCCCCCAGGGTCGAGGGATCCCAGCTGGGCCCACACCATTACCTGCTCCCCAAGACATACTTTGTGAGGTACCGGGTGTTGAGTCCCAACCTCTTTCACGACCACCCATCCCGTTATTATTATTATTCTTTAAAGCAGCACTCACAGAGGAACTGGTGGCTCCAGACTGCATTAGAGTTGCATTCACAGTGTCGCCCACAGCTTGGCCTTTAGGGATGGGACATTTGTCTCCAGAGTAATTAGTGCTGGGTGTAACGCCCCATGCTGTACCGTAAGACCCACTGTTAATCCCCTCACTGTTGCCGTGTTGAGAAATGGAAGTGCCATTTGAGACCGGAGAAATAGGGAGCTGAGGGGAGCCCCCTGTACTCATAGGCCAAGCTCGGTGCCCTGGGGGCTGTTCATTTATCTGCATTGAACCTGTAGAGTTTGGTAAACTAGAGGTCATCGAGTTAGTAGTGTTATTTGGTCCATTAAATTCAGTGTTAAGGTTTTGAGGCTGCCCACTTGGAACCTTGTTTGTACCATTGACTTCAGTTTCGGACAGCTGCAGGCATCCCCAGGACATCTTAGAGTTGATACTCTGTATGCTGGGTGTTTGACCTATGGTGCTTTGTTGAGTGTTGGTGCCACCATTTCCGTTCCCCACCAGCCCGTGGGGATTGGGCCCAGTGCTCTGAAGAACGGGCCAGGCACCATGGTTGGCATTTGGGTTCAAAGTGCTTGGATTTATACCTATATTGGTTGAGGAAACTTGGGTACCCCATGCATTTATTTTGCCATGGCTGCTTTCTGCCAGCTTTCCACTGGGGCCATCTCCGGAGCCTTGACATGTGCTTAGCATTGAGCCATTGGATACACCCCAAGGCCCCTTAACACTCCCATTACCCACATTATTGCTGCCATTTGCAACCATGAAATGAGAACCTTGTCTATTGCCATTGTTGTCACCCCCAGATGTGCTCCCAGACGGCATCATACTAAGATTTTTTTCTGACCCAGAGCTGGAGGCAGAGTCAGCATCCATACATTCTGAGGCTAACTCTGGGTCACTACCAGTGATAGAGGGCCAGGCTCCCTCATCAACTTTTCCCCAGTTGCTGTTTGGGTCACTGCAAGGTGAGCCAGAGCTCCATGGTGAACTTTCATACTGAGGATCCAGACCAGCACGTTCCAAACCTGTGAACGCAAATAAAAGGTCAGTCATTTCAGATGGGAAACTGAATTTAGTAAAAAATTAATACGAATTTGGCAACTAAAAATATAGGGTTCCTTCCAAAAAAGAAAAAAAAATTGTTGGGAAAAATTAGCCATCCAGCAAGACATTAATTTAGACATCCAGCACATTCAGCTCCACAGACATGCAATGAAATATCCTGATTGTTTTATTAACCGAGTTATTAACTGTAATACACACAGTGCAAATAAAACAACCTAAAACACAAGCCAAATGGTGCATATATAAATGTGTTGGTTACATACGACAAATTGTTTTGAACAATGGCTAACTGCCCATAGTCCTTGTCTCTGTCCTGCTGAGAAATGTCTCACTCAAGCCAGACTGAAACAGTAGTAGAGCTGCCACCATTTTGTAGCCGCAGCATGATCATGCTGCAAGCCAGGATGGAAGAGAAGGGGAAGACAGACGACTGCAAGCAGCAACACAAAGTGTGAAGTGTCTCTGCAAGTTTGCTAATTTTGCTTCGATGCGGCAAGCGTGGGGGCACTAAATTCTAACAATTACACAACTGCTGTGTTTGTTAAAATAAGTATTTTCTGGTAGCCTGCTCCTGCTTTCATATTTTTCTGCAAGATGGCTGCCAAGCTTCCTTGAGCACCGTTCTCTTGCCAAGTCTGAGATCCTTCTCCCCGGCTGTGTTAACAACAGATATGGGAAGACAAAGCAGCACAGACAGTCTCATAGCTGTTCTCAAGTAAACTGTTTGTTTAAGAGTGACTCAGTAAAATGAGATTCCGCTGAAGGTCACTAAAGGAGGTAAAGGAAAATTACAGTTATATTACAATTCGATCTTAGATTTCATCTCTCCAGGGGAGACAAAAAGAGACCTCAACTAAGGAGAGACTTAGTAGTCTACAAGTTAACAGGATAGAACAAAGGAAATTCTGCTATTAATCACTCACCCTATTAAAGCCTGTCGTTTACTGACCTTGTCTTTCCAAACCTATATGATGACTTCAGTTGAACACAAAAGCATTTATTTTCGTAAAAAAAACAAAAAACAAAAAAACAAAGTCATGCAGGTTCAGAACCACAAGGTCAGTAAATGACAGCCTTTAATATTTTTGGAGGAACTATCCCGTTAATGGGAGACTTATTGTGTCATGGGCAGTGTGTACAATCTCTGACTTGCAATGCAAGACTGAATTCAGAAAAGTTAGTACTTTAAAACAGTTGGCAGCACTACTAGTCTGGTCTTATATAACACAGGAAAAACACAGATTGGCAGGAAACAGGGGAAGTCAGTCTACTTATGCCAAGACATTATATTAATTCTTACAAGAAGCTCTAGAGCAAATGGCTAAATTTGGAGAGAACATTTTTTTTGAGAGAATCTACATAGAAACACTTAAGCATGCACCACAGAGATATTGGCAACAACTTTCAATCTACCTACACACAAACTGACAAACAGGTTTTCAGATGACTTGTGAACTTAACATACACACACACACACACACACACACACACAAAACAAAAATAGTAAACAACAGCACATGGTGAGAAAAAATAAATAGTGAGCCACCTGGTTGATTAGGGGAGTGGCTGACAGAATCCCGAATGGGAGCCATGCCTACGAAAAACAAAGAGCAACACAGTCAGGAAATATAACTAAATGAAGCTGCAAAATAGGTCACAAATAAAAAGGCCACACCCTAAAACCATTTAACAATTATTATTGATTATTTCTACAGCTATGATCAACAATTCCAATTCATCACTGCTACTTTTACGGGTAACTCCATTAGCATGACTACTGAACCGGACTTTAATTGAGTACTTGACAAATATGGGTTTTTCAGTGGGAGATGCACAAGCCAATATCTACTAGTACAGATATTCTTACACAATACTTGCATTACAAAAAAAAAAAAAAAAAAAAAAAAAAAAATCAAACAATTAGAACAAATTATTTTGTTTAGCTTTGGCACGGCTCTCTTTTTTCAAATGACACTTTAGACAATGCTTACAATCTGAAAATGGTGAAATATTAGCCAATTTATCAACATGACTACAAAAATACCAAACAAACAAAAAAACAACAGTACTTTGAGCACTAGGGGTGGGAATCTTTTGGTACCTCACTATTCAATTCATATCGACTATTGAGGTTATGATTAGATTCAAATTTTATTCAAAATTTGATTTACGAAGAACCAATTTTATTTGCTACATAAATTTGATTCTAAATTACTGTTTTGAGTTACTTTTCCTATTTGACTGTGCTAGATAAAACTTGAAGAAAAAACCCACTGAATTAAATGCAAACCTTGAAACTTATTTTGTTTTCCTCCCCATTTTAGTCAACCCAATATCATTATTAAGCTGACTACAATCATTAAACACGTCTGGCCCTAAAAGACGTGTTTAATGCAATAAAGCAAGCAGGCAATTTTATTTAAATTTTGATATTAAAAATAGGAACGAAGGAGCACATTACAAAAACATTAAGACAAATACAATAGAAAAAAAAACACATACAAGTACAGTAGCCTAAGTATTAACTTGTAGTAATAAATACTTCACACATAAAACTAGCCTTCACTGTATGAATACAATATAAACAGTCATATTAAAGACACAAAAGTGATTCAGTCAAAAGCGTGGAGTGATTTAAAAATAAAAATAAAATTAGCATTAATGAAACAGACGGCAATGGTCTTTGTGAGACTGCAGTCCCTTTAAGAATGAATGAATGGATCTAATATACTGTTACGCATACTGAATTTCTGTCTAGGGGACATAATATAACTGTGTGAGGACATAACAGAGTGTGTTCTAATGTGAATACATGATGTGCATTTTGACAATTGTGTGTGCATTCGACCATGCAAGCGCAATAAGCTTTGAAAGAAGTAAATTCGGTATTGCATCTAAGATGCGGCAACTGTGCTCACGCTTCGTCTATGTCCGTCAGTGTGAGCACCACACTGAGTTCTACTTCACCGGCTTATTGTGATTAACATCACTCCAACGTGCCAATAACTTATTACTGCAAAGTTAAAGTGTAACACTTTAGAAAATTTATATTTGAAATTTGTGAATTGGTAGAAGATAGAATCGCGATTCATATGTGAATTGATTCTGTCCATCACCAATGTCCAACTTTAAACATATACATATACCAGGTTGATCTCATGAAGTAGCGCGTGTATGACACGCCAATTCGTATTTCCATTTTTGGCGTGCTATCAACACGCATTAATCGCTTTTCAGCGTGTTTATGAACGCCGTTGACTTAACGTTATTACTGTATATATAAATATGACTTACCTCAACCCTGTCCCTAAACCTAACCATCACCGGGGTTAATGGCATTTATGACTGTACCCCTACCATCCTAGGAAAGAAAAACATAGCTCCCCAGATGTAGATGTACATTTTGCTTTGTTTTGCTTGGACATTTGACGGCGTGTAAAGACACGCGGAATGACGCGGACGTTAATGCCGTGGACATACACGCGGATAGCTCAAAATGCGTCGAGATAACACGCCACTTGACTCGAAATTGGCGTGTATGTTTACGCAGAAGTCATGATGTCATGTTGCATATATATATATATAAATAAACACACACACACATACACACATATATATATATATATATATATATATATATATAATAAATCATTGATATAGATTTCAAATAATAGATTTCAGTGCACCTGGCTGATCCGTAAATAACAATGTAATTTTGCGGAGGACTATTACCTGAAAGGTGGCTTTGGGTGCAGTGTAGGACAGACCTCTCAGTCGTAAGCTCCCCTGGCTGGCTAGAGTTGAGCTGCACTTGAGTTCCCAGGGTGGCAGCGAGGACCGTGAGGGATTGCCCACACTTCAACAGCTGTTTCTGTTTGTGCTAGCAGAGATGCGGCGGAACTTCACAGAGCGGGTACCGAGGCAGGGCTTGGGGCTGGCCGCTGGCTGGGGCCCTCTTGGCATTGCTGATGGTGCAGGTTACAGTGGAGGTGCTGCTGTTCTAATTGGCAGACTGAGGCTGGCTGAAACTGGACTTGATATGTTCTGGCACTGAAATCAAAACAATAACATGTATCAAAAACTGTAAATCCAAATATTTTCATCCAACACAACTCTGCACAATTTAAAGCTAATCAATAAATATCTATTTTAGTTTAATGATGCCTAAAAAGAGCTTTTCTTTGTGGAATTTTTCCTGACCTAGAGACATAAAAAAAGTAAAAAAAAAAAGTAAAAACCCCCCCCCAAAAAGTAAAAGAAAGAATAATAAAAACTATGGAGACCTTGCAAAAAAATTTGATAAATAAATACTGCACCTCGTTAGAAACTGACCAGATTTTAAACACTTTGAAAGCCAATAATCTGAATACAAAAGTATTCCAGAGATTAAGTTCTCTATATGGTTTGCTTATATAACATATATAGCAGTTCCATACAGATTCATGGGTACCACGTTAAATCCACTACGTAAATTATGCCTCCTCTACATTGGCTAAATAATTGAGGAAAATTTTGGAAACAAACTCAAAACTGTGCTATGTTGCTAATTTAGTATAGTTTTGCTGCTACCGTCATACAAATAGTTATCACAGTCTAGCAGTTCATTAATTCAATCTTGCACAATTGTTAGACACTACAACAGATAGTGGGTTGTAAAATAGGTTGTTAACTCAAGACTTAATCTCCATAAGAGTCATAGTCCATGTAAATTTTGACATAGATGTTTACTACTGAGCTCAATAAAACAAATATTTTCATTTCCACGATTTACTACTTGATTATTTTTACTATCAACCATCGTCCGATTGTTTAAAAACAGCCGATGATCAGGGTCAATTATATTCTGTCAATCAAAAGGGGGCAGAAAAACATATCAGACTGCAACTCGTACTGTGTGTTGAGAAAACATCAAATGTTGAAATTAGGGCTGTATTGAAGTTTACTGGTTAATGCGCACAAAAAATATTCTCATCGCTTGATAAACTTAAGGTTGAGCCACTGTAGTCACTCGGACTATTTTAACAATGTTTTTTCTAACTTTTCTGGACCGGCAGAATGAAATTGCCTAGAAATCTATGAAGGAGTGAGACAGCTCTCAGATTTGATCAAAATTATCTTAATTTGTGTTCCGAAGATGAACGAAAGTTTTACGTGGTTGGAACAACAGTGAGTAATTAATGACAAATTTATTTTATTGGGGTGAACTAACCCTTTAACTTTGCATTTTCTTTAGGGAAGTTTTCCGATGTCAGTTGGTTATAAAGAGGTTTACTTTTAATTATATATGTATGCTTTAATTGACATGAAGACAAGCACTTATGAATGCATGTAACTATAAAAAATAAATTGTTTGCAAACAATTCAGTGTTCATTTGAGTGCAATTATTACATGTAAAAAAATAGCAGTTGAATAGTTTGGGCTATGTTGTTTATTTGAACCTCTTTTATTATAGTAATGCACCAAATGAGAGGGTTCCCCGTGTAGTTTACAGCATTAGTCGGGAGAGATTTGTGCCAAATGCGGGTAGATTTTCCATTTGGTGAGTAAATCTCAAAAGGCTATCCACCCCACTGCCGGGTAAATGTTCATACCAAAATAGTAATGTAATAAAATGTTTTTTTACAATTGCATTTTGTAATGTTATAAAATATCTGGCATGATGGCTAAAAATTCGCTTTGGAGCAGATTTCTCTTTACTTATTATATGCCCCATATACTAGTGTATACGCTTTTAGAGATACAACTCTTTATAGTTGATTATCATGAAAACAAATCTCAGAGAATAGTTGACTAGGTACCAATGTGTAATTAGACCAAAGGTTCATTTAGCGCCCGAGTTCTCCTTTAACAATACATTTACCAAAATTTAACAATTAAATTTTTGGTTTTTAATGTATTGTTAGCCCCTGCCCCCTGCCCCTCAAATACTTCCCTACATCCCCGGTTCAAACGTGCAGCGGAGCAGCGTTCGCTCAGTCTAGCTCCCACACACAGCGAGTCTGCTGCCGTGCGGTGGCCCTGCTACCCGACTGGAGACTGAGCTGCCCCAGAGCCTCTGAAGGTGAAGTGAGTTTCCTTTTAATAAAGACAGGAACGGCTTAGTAAAAATTATTAAATATTGTTTATATCCATAACGTTTACTGATGGTCATTGTTACACCGACGTTACAAAACCCAATACAGTGCCAGTTAGGAGATCGATCATTTGATTAGCTAAGCAGTCCTATAAATTCAATTCCTCTCAGATATCACAGCAATGAAACCAGGTTACAACTGGTGAAATAAATACAATAGGATTAAGTAATCTAAACATAATTGGTGTGTGCATGTGATGAATCTTTCTGATTGTATATTCGATATATAGGCTACTTATTAGCTGCATGGCCATACAGTGTAATGTAATACAAGGATAACCAGAGGTTTTCACATATTGACTTTTGCAGGCAAGAGTAGTTGAAGAAAGTAGCTGGAGCCTAACTATGAAAAGGAAGGCTAAAAGTGGGGACATTGCAAGCTTTTCTGCTAAATTCATAGTACACAGGAGGAAGGGCGGGAAATAAAAAGGAGAAGGCAGTAAACTGGAGAGACCAGTAGGGTCAGAGCAGGAGAAGAAGTGGAAATAAGTGACTGAGAAGAGGAAATAAGTGAAGGAGACGAGGGAATAAGAGGAGATGAGGAAAAAGAGAGAATCAGTGAGGGATGAAGAGGAGGCTCCAGATTCAGAGAGAGGGACAGAGGCAGGGAGTGATGGATGAGGGAGAGGAAGACGATATATCTGCAATTACCCCTGGACTACATGGTATGTTTTTATTCTTTTTCCATATAAATTGCCGTACAGTAGGATAATATGTAATGCCACTTATGAAACGTTTAGCTGAAAAGCACAACAACCATCGCCTTAAGCTTTCCTAAAAAAGATGAGTGATAAGTAATTTGTGGACTGTAATAATAAGTCTTTAATTATAATAAGAGTTATAACTTGAGTATTGAATATTTTATATATAAAATATTTTATTTTTGCTTTTTATACTTTTACTTTATAAAAGATGCACAGTTTTGTTTTGTTTGAACACTGCACTGGGCTTATTCCTGTTGTGAATTAAAAACCTTTGTAGTGTGTAAGGGCATTATTAAACAATAACCACTGTAGTTTTTTTGTGTGTTTGTTTTGTTAAAGCAATTCACATAGGGATTCCCATGTACTGTCTAGACCTGCCACCCTGCCAAGACCTCTTGCCACCCCTTTACACCCACATGTAAAATTTTCTAGATCTACCACTGCACCCCGGAACACCCTAAAGGGACCGAGGTCCACCCACCACAGTTAAACGATATCCTTTGGGAAACACCATCATATATGTGCGTCATCATATTTGGTTGCTATTGCAGTATTTAAAAGCACAAAACATGGTATTACCACAAGGAATTTTGGTACTTTATAAGCATCTAGTTAGTAAGAATAAAAATAAGCAATGCATCTGATTTTCATGCAATCAAGTTTGAAAATGTACAGTTCTAAAGAGCAGACAGTCAATATAAATAGTTTAATAGTTTACCACCACTGCACATTCAGCTTCTTAAAACTGTGCAGTATTTTTATTCTTACAAACTAGTTACTTGCATCATGGTAATGCCATGTTTTGAGGCGAGGACATGTACCATTGTATGCTAAGCTTAACTGTTCGCAATATTCAGCAGTTTGTTCCTGGACATTGTTTTGGCTGTGGAATTTCCTCTTCAGGAATGACCTCACAGTGCAGCAATTCAGTTTCAGATTTAAAAAAAAAATAGCTAGATAAATGCTTTATAAAAACAGACACCGTCCCGACTGTGAACCAGTCTAGAAGAGAGAGCTACCAATAAAAGACTAGTATAATTACATTATTCCTCACATCAAAACAGCCGAGAAGACTTTACAAATTCAACAATAAAAGGGAATAGAAGAACTCGATGCAAAAGTAAAATATATTTGTAGCGTATTATAAAATCTGTAACACTACCTTCAAGTAATACAGGATTAGATCACAGTTTCCTTTTCCCCTCCTATCCAGGTTTACCAGAAGCCTTTAAACACATCCAGCTTTGTTTCTTCTCTTTGCATTTCATAAGAAAAAAAAATGGAGGGGCATGGTGTCATTTTACTGCTCGAGTTGAAACTCCTGCCAGCTCCTCCTGCTGCCTGTAGTGGGGGCTCTGTGAGGGGGGAGCTCTTTTGGGGGCTTTCATTTTTTGAAGTCTACTTTATCTCTTGAATGTTTTAGCAGAGGAGTACAAAAGGAAACAAAAGTGTGAAATAATACTGCAACAAGCTGTGTTTTTTTAGGGGCAACTTCCTGTTCAGACAGCTTCGACTCGCTCGTTGTGGAATGACAACCGTCAGGAAGTCAGGTGGTCATATTGCAACAAGCAGGCTACCATGCAGATCTGTTGCACTGCAACAACCAGTGCTGCATTCAATGACAAGCCTGTATGACTACAAAATTAGAGAAAGAATGAACGCGTTCTGGTTTGACGCAGTATCGGAAGGCATCTTTCCAGGAACACTAAAAATACTAATGCATTCATTTCTTCACTGCTGAAATGCAAAAATGCCAAAAGCGGAATCAAGTGGAGAAAAACTAAAATATAACTTCAAGTTTCTCTTGAACACTCCCAAAAGTAGTTGCAGACATGATCAGGTCTGCCATTTGTCTTAAAATTACAAGTATGCATGAACAGGTCTTGACTTGAAACGCCGTTCCATATTTGGTGCCAGCTATGTCAGTAATATATTACTATTAGAGCCAAAAAGACAAGGTACTATCTTTTAGAAGTCTGAAGTTTTGCTTTTGGGATTTAAGTGATTTTCCAGCCTCTAACGACTTAAAACTTGCCATCTTTGTCAGAGGCTCTTCCTTGAAAGCAAACATTGTGGATTGCTAAGCAACAGCTAGGTGATTTAGTCAACACACTAAACCTTTGTCGCAAAACACAGACGGTACAAATCATTTCTTGAAGGGTTTTCCATTGCCTGACCCTATTTTGCTAAGAAAAAAAAAAGATCACGATAAACTTTCGACTTTTTCACAGACAAAATTGGAAGGTACACAGGGATGTGTTTTGAAATTTTAGATGACCAAATAGTTTCCAGCTGGCATTTATTTGGATGAATAAGTCATGAAATATAATTTAAGTGCGAGTGAATGTTTATTATCTAGTCAAAATAAAAAAGGAGCAAAATATTGTTTTGGACACAGCAAAGTCAAATTTATTGCCTTCGGCATCATGAAGAAGACAAGGACATCTGGGCCAACAGATAAGTAAAAAGTCACCCGGGGTAACCAGGGAGGGGTGGGTACTGGAAACATGATTCTTGGATATTTGCCGTGCGAACTGCCGAGCAGCAGCGCTTCACCCAGATACCGAATGAAGTAGATGCAGTATTTACATCACAATTCTTTAAGGTCTTTTCCCAAGCACAAACTACTTTCTATAAGCAAGACCACAGACACACCCGCAAACTTTTCCCAAGGAGAGCTGTTACCAGACTCAACCAAATGTCAGTCACACCACTGGCCTTAAGCTACTGTGAGAGCTAAGACAAGGTCAAGAGATAAAGACCTGAGCTATCAGCCTTTCCACATCACTCAATGGAAAAATGCTACACCCACTGACAAGTTTCTACGATGCAAGTAGGTCTGCATAAAAGGCAAAGTATGGTCACTTGTGATAAATGTCTTTGCTTCTCTTTCCAATCAGGAATAAAACAGAGCAATATCATCAATGAATATGGCTTGATAGCGGATGCCCCGACTATGCACCGAGCTAAAAAAACTACAATAAATTGGTAATATTTAGCCCTGTACACAATAATTCTTACCTTTATACCAGCCCCTTCTTCCTTATCGTCATTCCAATGAGCTCTACACTTTTCTCCATCCACTCTCCATCCGTGTTTCGAACGATTTCCCTGCAAACAAAAGGATTAAATGTCAAATAAATCATGATAACGTGGCTTCATCTTTAGCAACTCGTTACGCACAGCTACAATTCCAAATAAATGATGCAGCAAGGCATTTAGTAAAAGGGAGAAAGCTTCTGGTAATCTCCTTAACGGATTACACTGGGAAATTACTCCTCTATAAACAGACAACTATCTCTGTGGGTCACACAGGCAAACACTTTTTTGATGACTACCTATACTCTAGATCTGCACAACATTTGCTGATCTATGCAAGATGCACAATGTTTATCTAGCAAGTGAGATCAATGAGGTCAGCAACATGCAGCATAGAGTTACAATTAGGCTTGGGCGGTATTACGGTAATATCGTATACCGCGGGATCTAAAAATAGCAACGGTATCATTTTCAATATCGTCATACCGTCAGAAAAAAAAAAAAACAATGCACTTAAATAGGAGACAAGGAATCCTTGTCTCCTATATAAGTGCAATGTTTTAAATACAATTTATTTAAAGGCTAAAATGCTTATATCTGGTTCTCATGACGTGACAGTGTGGTGACGAGAGAGTGGGTGAGAGAGGGCAAAGATTGCAAGTTGTGCACTAGGGGTGGTTAATCTGTCTGATTTCCCGATTCGATTCGATTACGATTATTGAAGTCCCGATTCGATTACAGTCGATTTTCGATTATTAACGATTCTCGATTACCGATTATTGATTTTCCATTTCACAACAGTAAACGAAAATACACTAGACCAACATATGATTATATTAGCAGCAGCAACATTTTGGTATTAATTGCACTTTTTATTTGTTTGATATTCATTGAAAATATAATGATGGTTAGTGGGGACATGCAAACATGCTTGTTATCTACTACTTAGGCAACTCATTAGGGCTGGGCGATATGACGATATATATCGTTACCGCGATAGAAAACGTCAGGCGTAACAGATTTTTTTATTCCGTGTATACCGCAAACATGCTTGTTATCTACTACTTAGGCAACGAACTCATTATCTTTACATTTATTAACTTTAAATTTTTTTTCAAAAGCAATTTTGTTGCATTATAATGCAAATGCACCTGGTTCTATTAATTGACAGCATTAAAATGTATTTTGTGATTTCCTTCAATTGAAAATATTTGAAGCAAGTTTGGGGGACTTAAAGGGCATCCGATTCAGAGAATCACCCAGAAATTCAAAAGAACAGCATTTATCTGAAATAGAAAGCTTTTGTAACATTAAACAATACCGTTCAAATGTTTGGAGTCGGTAAGAATTTTTATTAAATTTTTTGGGCAAAAGAAAAAAGAAATCTATACTTTTATTCATCAAGGATAAATTAAGTTGATCAAAAGTTAAAGTACAAGACATTTATAATGTTACAAATCGATTATCTGAATCTTTTGTGTGACTATAAATAATTTGCTTTAAAAGTACAAATTAATGACCCATAAAGAATTAATGCACAATATATTTTATTAACATTACAAAGAACGACCAGGAAAATAAATGTGTGCTTGAACTAGGAGCATACTTGTAGTAAATAAATAATATAACGACTGGTGCAGCCGAGTGTTTTTCCTCCTCTGGCTGGAAAGGTGTCATATGGCTTATCATATTTGTCGTGTTTCCGTCGTTGGTTTTATTCCACAAAGCGTACAACTAGTGCGGCTCTTGTCCAGCTCCTTTCCCCCTTCAACTTCAGAAGCCAAAATATTTCCACACGTCAGCTTTTAACCTAACAAGGAAAGTGTTTGGATCTCGCGTGCCATCTCATCTCTGTTATGTGCACGCCACAGACGGTCCCGCCACTGCACTTCCGCGCTTCAGAGTTCCGTCTTTCGCGTTCCGTCAATATTACGTTATTATAAATACATATCAAAAAAAAATTTTTGAAATCGATTTTTTGACATTTGTGAATCGATTCAGGATCGTCCACGTCCGCATCGCGATGCATCGAGAATCGATTTTTTTCCCCACCCCTATTGCGCACCGAGTGACTTGGTCTCGAAGAAGAACACGACTTCTGCAGTTTGGCAGGGATGGGCATTTCAAGCAAAAATAATATTTAAAGATTGCCTGGTATTATTCGATTATTATTTGAAAATTGTGCCCCACCACCACATGCACGCCACATGCATGTAGTCTACAGCGGGGCGGACCGTGTGCCGCTTAAATATAAGCTCGGGTTGAGAAAAAAAACGTATTCCTTTCATATTTTTTTAATAATATGATGTTTTTCTATGTATGTTGATTTTATGAAAAGGGAACTTCATGAGATGACTAAGATAAGATCATAAAATGCGCAATATCGGAAAACATTTGGAATGGGTCAGTCAGACATGATTATGACCACTTATTACGTTTTGTTTTGTAGAAATCCTTTCTTTAAAACGAATTTCGTTTTGAATAAATTGCATCTTCATTTAAAAATTTTTTTCATCAACGATTTTCCTGGATTAATTAATAATAAGCAAATATAGTGATCAGGACACGCGCCGGCGCGTGACTGGAGCGCGACTCATACATGAACTGAACCTCGCATAAGAAACAAGATCTGAGAAGTGTATAAGCTTGAAATGTCTTCTTTAACAATCTAAAAGAAATTAGCTGCTCTCTGCTTATGTTTAGGCTAATTCATATGAAGTGTGCATTACTCTTTATTCGCGTTCACTACCGCGAAGATGCGAGTTTGCATGCAATCTTTATCTTTGCAGCAATTGACATAGAAAACACGTTGGGTCAGTCAGACATGATTATGACCAGTTATTACGTTTTGTTTTGTACAAAGCCTTTCTTTAAAACTAATTTCGTTTTGAATAAATTGCATCTTCATTTATTATTATTTTTTTCATCAACGAATTGCCTGGATTAGGCTAATAAATAAAAAGCAAAGATAGTAGCCTAATCAGGACACGCGCCGACGCGTGACTGGAGCGCGATTCATACATGAACTGAAACTCGGCATATAAGATACATGTCTTAATGATCTGAGAAGTGTATATATATGTAAGCTTGAAATGTCTATACTTTTAAACTAAACAATTACAAGCTAAAAGAAATGGGCTGCTCTCTACTATAGGCTTATTCATATGAAGTGTGCATTAGGCTACTCTTTATTCGTGTTCACTACCGTGAAGATGCCAGTTTGCATCGTCAATGCAATCTTTATCTTTGCAGCAACTGACATAGAAAACACTAGTTTATTAATATTTTTTTTTATCTCGGCTCCACTCGGCTCGCGTCGAGAGCTCGTGGCGCGTGATCTTCAGAAATGCGCTCCCCTCTCTAGAGGAAATATCACCACTCTGCTCACATTCTCTGGTGTGACACAATGTGCATCTCCTGTTTTCTAATAGTTGATTGACAGCTTTTAGATGCATTATTGGAACCGACACTCTCTGGTTGAATGCGTCATCATGTGTGATGCCGTCTGAGCCTTATCTCGTAATTTTTAATTAGTCATGCGGTAATACGGTATACCGCGGTAAAATAGGGAGGAGGTTTGACGATATGAAAATTTGGATACCGCCCATGCCTAGTTACAATAATATAAATAATTACACAATTAACTTTTGCACAATTAAAAAGACAAATTTTATTGGCTTCTAATCATTTCATGGTATTAAATTAGTGTATTGGGTAGGGTTGCACCAGCCATTCGTTAGTTCTTAAATTGGAACGTTAAGTCCACACTACAGACTTTATAACTACTAGCTAGTTTGAAATTAACTCAAATGCACCGTTTGTTCTTAAGGCAGAACGTAGCTAGTAGGTCGTAAGCTTTCCGTAAAGTAATGCGCAGCTCGATAATATGACGTTTACCCTCAATATTCCAAGCAGCCTATAAATAATTGAAGATTAGTTTATTTAAATGACGTTTAACGAAAAAACATTATTTAAGTTTAATTTCTTTAATTAAATTTAAGTTTATTTAAGTTTAATAAAGCAACGTAGTAAGATAAATACATTTATTTAAGTTTAATAAAGCAACGTAGTAAAATTCGAATAGTATTTTATTTTTTTGAATAATAATTACAGTGAGAAAATTCACAATGATAAAAAAAAAAATCTATTTTACAAAGAATAATATTGAAAATCAATGTGTGGCAAACAGTGTTGATATTGTGGCGGGCCGCCACAAATAAATGAATGTATGGGAAACTCTGCCCTCTAATTGATTTAAGTTGTATTCAGTTCTATTTTTGAAGTTTCCAGGCCTAGTAATTTTACGTCTACCTTTTTCAGACCAAAGGGGATTATAAGTGTTGCTGCTAATGTTTCAAGTTTTTCATACAAGTAGTTTAGATTATTATATATAGGCTTAATATAGGGTAGGCTAAGCCAGTACACAATTATTTTTTATGCATTTTAATTTCCTGTACATAATTTTTTTAAACTACATAAATGCCATTAGCCTCTACTGTATCCCAACTGTCACATTACAACATCAATTGAGCAATATAACATGCATTTATATCAGAGTATATAGGCAATGCTTTGCTTTTTATGTTAAAGACACTATTGATACCATGAGAAATGTACCATTTCAGGAAAATAGCCACTTATCACTTAATCGTTAATTGGTCGATAATTTGCATCCCAAATGATCACAAAGCCATGCTTCGCAATATTTTTTTTCCTAGGATGGCAGGGGAACACTCATAAATGCCATTAACCCCAGTGACGGGTAGGTTTAGGGACAGGGTTGAGGCAAGTCATATTTATATATACAGTAATAACGTTAAGTCAACGGCGTTCATAAACACGCTGAAAAGCCGTGTCATACACAATTCTTTTGTAAAAGACATGTTCATGTTTAAAATTAGTAGAGTACATGAAATATGTCCATAAAGACTTGAAACGTGCTTGTTCCGGTCCGTATATGAGTGATATGATCCACGTTTTGAGTGTTGAACTCATCGCGTCGTTCCGGGCAGAAACCGCTCTCATGCATCAATAAATGTGACTGATATATTCGCCCCGCCGAACCCTGTCCT